GTGCGTTCAAGCCCTATGTTGAGTGTGATTATTTAAAAATAAAAGCTTAAAAAGAAAGAAAGAAAGAAAGAAAAACAGTGATGGTGAAAGTTTTCATGTTCACACAATCCCCAGTGCTCAAATGAGGAGGTACCAGGAGGGTCAGGGGAAGAGGTGTGAGTCTTAAAAAGAGGGATTTATGTAACTTTTAAAATTTGGCCTTAAATTGAGTCTTAAAAAGAAGCACATATGTAACTTTTAACATTTATTTTGGCATGCCTGGCTGGCTCAGTATGGAGCATGTGTGGCTCTTGATCTCAGGGCCATGAGCTCAAGAAGCCCCACATTGGGCATGCAACTTACTTTTAGGAAAATGTTTATTTCACTTACTTTAATTTTAAAAGCAATGCTTAATCATTATAGATCATTTTGGAAGTATAGAAAAGTTAAAAGACAAGAGTAAATTTGCATACTTCTCTAGCTCTGGGGACATTGCTAACATTGTGGCATATTTCTTTCCAGTCTTTTTTATTTTTTAAATCCAGTTTTACAAACCTCACGTCCTCTTATCTATAATAGTTGGAAAGAGTTCTATTTTGAACAGGTAGAAGGAAGTATGTTACTCAGCAACTATTTTAGGGAACTTATTAACTTTAAGATAGACCAAGGTAAAGATAGAACCTTCTAGAAATTACCTTCCCTCACAGATAATTAAAGGCTGTTCTAGAATCAGTCAGTAATCACGTACTGAGCACATGCTATATGTCAAGTACCATGCAAGGTGCAGGGGCTCTGCGGAGGACAAATCAAACACAGTCCCTCACAAAGCCCACAGTCTAGTGGAGGAAAGAGATAATTAGAATAGAATAAGCAGTTATGAGAAATCGAGTCATTAACCCAGGGGTGTAGAGTGCTGCAGAGAAGCTTGGGGCTCTGTGGCAGTGAAAATATTGCCCTGACCTAGACTGTTGGGTAAGAAGCCTCCGCAGAGGCCCCAGCTGAGACCGGAGAGCTGAGGAGGCAGTGGCCATGTGAGAAGTAAGGAAGGACACTCGGGGCAGGGGGAACAGCCTGCCCAGAGGCAGGGCAGAAACGGGCAGTCCAAAGACCCACAGGAAGGCCAAGGGGGCTGGGTGGAGCAGGAGAAGAGGGGCGCAAGAGGTAGAAGTAAGCAGGGGCCGCATCCTGCAGCACTTTCAAGGCTGTGGAAAGAGCCTGGATTTTATTCTGTGAATAGGGGAAAGGTATTGGTGGCTTTTAAGCTGGGATGTGACATGATTTGTGCTTTAAAAAAAAAAATGAGTCTGGCTGCAGTGGGAAAGTCAGTGTGGAACTGAGGGAGCAAATCCACACTACCAATTGGGTGGGATGGTGGAGACCTTTGACACACATGGTCCTCTTTCATTGAACTTATAACCAGCCCTCTAGCCAGACATCCCCTTTACTGGTAGGCAAACCGAGGCTCCCAGAAGCTAAATAACAAGCCTGAGGCCACACTGCCAAGGTGTCAGAACTGGGATTTGAACCCAGATGTAACTCGAAAGCCAGCATTATCTCCCCTTCCAGGATGATGTTAGGATTAGAGTTGGAGAGGGGGCAAGGAGTCAGAGAGCCCAGGGAGACTCTGTGATACAGGGATGCCATCGTAACTGTTTCCTTTCATCTCTACAGCTACGGAGCCAGAATCCGGGCCCCTCACGCGCTGGTCATGACCTTTCTCTTCCGGAGTGGCAGGTACCTACCCCCTTCTCAAACTGGGAGAGAATATGTTCAGCCCTCAGTGCCAGGACGGTTGAACGAGCTTCCTAGCTAGGTCTAGCATGTCCCCCGTCACCACCATCTCCTCAGGTACAACTCTGATCCTATTACTGCTGCTCAAAAACTCCCCCGGCTCCCACTGTACTCCAGAGAAGCCCAACTTCCTTCCTTAAAAGCCCCTTTGCAACTAGTCACGAGGAGCACTGGGTGATGTATGGGATTGTTGAATCACTACATTGCACACCTGAAACGAAGATAACAGTGTATGTTAACTATAGTGGAATTAACATAAAAACTTTAACAAAAGGCCCCCCCCTGCTGCCTGGCCTCAGCTGCATCCCCACACTGTCCACTCCATCCAGCCTGCAGTGCCCTTGGCGCACAGGACTCGCTACATACCGAGTGTGGTTCTACCTCCACACATTTACTTACTCCCTGCTGGGCACGCCCTTTCCTCTTCTCCCCCACCTTTATTTCCTTCCTGGCAACCCATACCTGTTTTATGAGGGTTACTTCCTTGGGAAAACTGTCCATGACCTCCCTCCCTTGCTTAAACTTCTTGGTCTTCCTCCAACCCCTCGTGACTTTCCCCTCACTGTACTTCTCAGAAACTACTCTGTGGCCTGTTTTTTTTTTTTTTTTAATTTATGTTTATTTTTGAGAGAGACAGAGACAGAGTGCAAGTGGGCGAGAGATAGAGGGACAGAAAGGCACAGAATCCGAAGCAGGCTCCAGGCTCTGAGCTGTCAGCACAGAGCCTGATGTGGGGCTCGAACTCAGGAACCGTGAGATCATGACCGGAGCTGAAGTCAGACGCTTAACTAACTGAGCCAACCAGGTGCTCCTGTGGCCTGGTTTTTGATGCTAAGATTTATTGGCCATGGGTCCTCCTTGGGCCGACCATTGCTTTTTTTTTTTTTTTTTTAAAGTTTATTTATTTATTTTGAGAGACAGAGAGAGGGAGTGTACATGAGCTAGAGAGGGGCAGAGAGAGAAAGAGTCCTAAGCAGGCTCCATGCTGTCAGCTCAGAGCCCAATGTGGGGTTCGGACTTACAAACCGTGAGATCGTGACCTGAGCCTAAACTACAAGTCAGACGCTTAGCTGACTGAGCCACCCAAGTGCCCCTGTGGTCTGGTTTTTAATGTATGTAGCTTCATTTGGAGCTTATAAGAAGTACACATGGACAGCCTATTGGCCAATTCCAGCTCGCAAGATTTTCCCCCTTTTTTTTTTTTTTTTTAAGTAAGTCTATGCCCTTCATGGGGCTCCAATTCACACCTCTCTTCTTGTATTTGTGCTTTATTGATTCACTGATTTTTGTTTTTGTTTTTGCCCTCCATTTTCTTAAAATTGAACCCATTCATTCAAACAGTAAGTATTTATTGAACATCTACTATGTGCCCAGACACCGTTTTAGGTACTAGGGATAGAGAAGTGAACAAAGCAGGCCGTGATCAAGGGGAGCAATGCTGGTGGCCCAGACATTGGTGGTGGCAGTGTAGGTGAGAAGTGATCAGACTCTGGAAACATTTTGAAGGCAAGATTGGCAGCAACGCTTGGTAACTGGGAAATCCAGCTTTCTTGCATTAGTGTCCAGCTGGCACAGTCACTATAGCATGTGACTCTTGATCTCAAGGTCATGAGTTTGAGCCCCATGTAGGGCATAGAGTTTACTTAAAAAAAAAAATACACGTATATATATATGTATATACATACGTGTATATATATATATTTTTATATATATATAAAACTGGCAACACGGGGCGTGTGTTTCTGTGAGGTGAGAACCAGCTGACTCCTGGCTGTCCCCGCTCACATGGCCAATTTCCACAGGTTCCAGTTGACCCACTTCAAGGTCCTCATCTAGCCTTGAGAGCACTTGGTTGGTTTTGCCATTCTTGAATTGACTCCCAGGGTACACTCTGCCCGTGTCCTGTGTTCTCCTCACTGCCCCCTAGTGACTTAATTTTAAAGGATAAATAGAATCCTTTCCCTGCTTAAATGTGTACTTTTCTCAGGATCAAGACAAAACAGCATGGCCCCACCTCTCCCCACATCATTTCTCTCCACACTCTCTGCTCAGGCCTTGATGGCTTCTCTCTGCCCCTTCACTGCCTACTCTCTGTCCCTCCTCCAAACCTTTGCACGTGCTGATCCCTCTGCCTGGGATGCAAGTCCTCTCCCTTCTTGACCTCATTGACACCTCATCCTTCAGATCCCAGGATCATCTCTGGTCAACGTCGAAGTTTGACTCTTGCTTCGTGATTATTTATCTTCCTCTCTCCCTTTAGATCATATACCTCATGAAGGCAGCAAGCATTTTTCCTCAGAATCGTATCCCTAGCTCCAGCACATAGTAGGCTCTCCCTTACTCCATTCACATCTTCACAGCTCACTCCAGGAAAAAAACATTCATTGAACACCTACTATGTGCCAGGCCTTGTTTTAGGTGTAGACACCACTCTTCCGTAGCTTCCACTGGGGTGGGGTAGAAGTGGGAAGAAATAATAAACAAGCATATAGATGTCAGCTGGTGTAAGAGCTGTGAAGGAAAAGAGGACAGTACATGATGGGCATTCTCTCGTGTCGGGTGGTCAGGCAAGGGCTCTCTGAGGAAGTGGCATGGAGCCAAGGCCTGAATCCAGTTGGGGAGCAGCCCCGCGGACATGGAAGCTGGAGGCCTGGGGCTGAAAGAGCAGCGGCCTGGTTCACATGTGCATGCCTAGTGGGTGAATGCCCTTGGAACAGTGGGGCCTGCGCTCACGGGGGCTCCCTGTGTTTGTGCAGCCTCCAGGAGAAGCTGTGGGCCATCCTGCAGGCCACGTACACCCACTCCCGGAACCTGGCCTGCTTTGTGTTCACCTATAAGGGGCTCTGCGCCCTGCAGTCCCACGTGCAGGGTGAGACTTACCAGGTGCACTCATTCCTGGCTGCCTTCATCGGGGGCTTGCTGGTGTTTGGACATAACAATAACATCAACAGTCAGGTAAAGACGCTGCCCCAGGATAGGGGTCAGGGGCCAGGGATGGGGGGTGGGAGGGACGTGGCCCAGGTATAGAACTTGGGGTAGAGGCCAAAGATGAGCTCTTCGTTCTTTCCACATCCGAGGGTCTGTGATTCACTAGTCCCTGTGTGACCTTGGGAAGATCAGTTTCTCCTCAGTTCTCTCATCTGTAAACGAAGCGGCTTGTTGAAATTCTGTCATTCCCAAAAATCAGTGTGCGTGCTGTTCTCCGGAGCAAAGATCTTTTTTTTTTTTTTTTAAATCTGGAATGCTTCACGAATTTATGTGTCATCGTTGCACAGGGGCCATGCTAATCTCTGTATTGTTAAATTTTAGTAGATGTGCTGCTGAAGCAAGCACTGGAGCAAAGATTTTTAAAAAAAAAAACAAACATAAAAAAACACTGTGCAGTGAAATGAGAAAAAAAAAAAAAACCACTCTGGGGGCACCTGGCTGGCTCAGTCAGTAGAGCATGGAACTCTTGATCATTAGTCATGAGTTCAAGCCCCACATTGGGTGTAGAGCTTACTTTAAAAAAAAAAAAAAAAAAAAAAAGGGCTGCGGGCTCAGGTCATGATCTCACCATTTGTGAGTTGGAGTCCCATCTCAGGCTCTGTGCTCACAGATCAGAGCCTGGAGCCTGCTTCAGATTCTGTGTCTCCCTCTCTCTCTGCTCCTCCCCAACCCATACACTGTCTCTGTCTCTCTTAAAAATAAATAAACATTAAAAAAATTTTTTTAATGGCTCTGGGGTAAGATATTCATAAAACATAAGTTATTACACTCAAAGAATGATCTCTTATTCTGTAACCTGCCTTTTTTCTAGGTTAAAATCCTTGTGTGTGTGTGTGTGTGTGTGTGTGTGTGTGTGTGTGTGAAATGAAATGCTAGTTGTTGTTTTAAAGTCCTTCTTGGTCAACATGAAAAGCTGGCAGCCCCCCTCTTTGCCTCCCTCAAGTTTATTAAATACTTTCAAATTATAAAAATCATGTTTTATTTTCACATTTTAAAAAATGCAGACTAAGCACTCCCTGTGTGCATAGCATACTTCTAGGTGCTTGGGGTATGGTCACAATAAAATTAGAAAATAAATTGAAGGGGCGCCTGGGTGGCTTAGTCGGTTAAGCGTCCGACTTTCGCTTAGGTCATGATCTCACGGTTCGTGGGTTCGAGCCCCGAATAGGGCTCTGTGCTGACTGCCAGCTCAGAGCCTGGAGCCTGATTCAGAATCTGTGTCTCCCTCTCTCTCTGACCCTCCCCTGCTCACGCTGTCTCTCTCTCTCTCTCTCTCTCTCCTAGAAATAAATAAAAAACGTTTAAAAAAAAAAAAGAAAAGAAATTGAAAAGGGGCACCTGGGTGGCTCAGTCAGTTAAGCATCTGACTCTTGATTTCGGTTCAGGACATAATCTCAGGTTTCCTGAGATCGAGCCCTGCATAGGTCTCTGTACTGACAGCATGGAGACTGCTTGGGATTCTCTCTCATCCTCCCCTGCTTGTGTGGATGCATACTCTCCCTCAAAATAAGTGAAATAAGCTTAAAGAAAAGAAAAGAAATGGCACTGGGCTATAAACTTGTAAGGGCTAGGAATCCTGGTCACACCAATCTCCTGCCCTCCTTTTCCCTGACCCCTGGCAACAACTACTCTGACCTCCATTTCTGAAATTTTGTCATTTCAAAAATGTTCTAGAAGTAGAGTCATTACTGTATGTAACCTTTGAGGGTTGGCTTTTTGTACTCCGCATAATCCCCTGGAGATTCATCCAAGTTGTATGTGTATCAATAGTTCATTTCTTTTCACTGCTGAGTGGCGTTCCAGGGAATGGATGTACCGCATTTGTTTGAATATTCACCCACTGAAGGGCATCTGGGTTGTTTCCAGCTTTTGGGAATACAGCTGCTAAGAACATTCTTGTACAAGTTTTTGGGTGACCACAAGCTTTTGTTACTCCGGAATAAATGCCCAAGATTGCAATTGCTGGGTCATATGGTACATGCATGTTTAATATATTTTTTTAAGTTTATTTTTTTGAGAGAGCTCACGCACATGCATACACATGAGCAGGGGAGGGCGGAGAGGGAGGGAGAATCCTAAGCAGGCTCTGTGCTGACGGCAGAGCTCAAACCCACGAACTGTAAGATCATGACCTGAGCCAAAATTAAGAGTTGATTGTGTAACCGACTGAGACATCCAGTGCCCCTGCATGTTTAATTTTTTAAGAAACTGCCAAACTAAACTAAAAAAAAAAAAGCCAAACTATATTTCTAGAGGACTATACTATTTTACATTCCCATGAGGAATATACAAATGATCCATTTTCTCCACATCTGAGCCAGCATTGATCATGTTTTTAATTTTAGCCATTTTGATAGGTGTGTAGTGCTTCTCATTGTGGTTTTAATTTGCATTTCCCTAATGGCTAGTGATGTTTATTTTCCATCTGAATAACCAGTTCAGTGAAACATCTGCTCGTATCTTTGCTCATTTTCTAATTGGATTGTTTCTTTTCTTTACCACTGAGTTTTAAGAGTTTTTTTTAAAAATATATATATATTCCAGATACCAGTTTGCCAGATATGTGTTTGTGAATATTTTCTCCCACCTGTAGCTTTTCTTTTCAGCCTCTTCATGTGGGCTTTCACAATTAGTTTTAAATTTTGGTAAGATCCAACTCATCACTTTTGTGTGTTTAGGTGTGTGTGGATTGTGTTTTTTGGTGTCAGGTTACCTTTTAGTTTTGAACCGTGTAAATGTATTCATTTTCTAAAATGTTTTAAGGTTTATTTATTTTTGAGAGAGAGACAGAGAGACAGAGACAGAGCACGAGCTGGGCAGGGGCAGATAGAGAGGGAGAAACGAATCTGAAGCAGGCACCAGGCTCCAAGCTGTCAGCACAGAGCCCGATGTGGGGCTCGAACTCATGGACCATGAGACCGTGACCTGAGCCAAAGTTGGACGCTCAACCAACTGAGCCACCCAGGCGCCCCATTTTCTAAAATGTTTAATTGACAAGAATTATAAATTAAAGCAATGAATGGCAGTGTTAAAATACCTGCTACATACAATTTCAAATCATCTTGAACACCCACACACTGATCCAAGGGCTCTTGGATGGCTTAGTCAGAAGAGCATGAGACTCTTGAACTTGGTCGAGGTCATGAGTTTGAGCCCCATCCTGGGTGTAAAGATTACTAAAATAAATTTTAAAACTTTATTTTTTTATTTATTTACTTTTTAAAATGTTTGTTTTTCTTGAGAGAGAGAGGGAGAGAGAGAGAATCCCAAGCCGGCTCAGTGTTGTCAGCACAGAGCCTGACATGGGGCTCAATCCCACGAAGCCATGAGATCATGACCTGAGCTGAAACCAAGAGTCAGACGCCCAACAGACTGAGCCACCCAGGCACCCCTAAATAAAGAAACTTAAAAAAAAAAAAAAGAAGAAGAAGGAAAAACACTGGTCCAATGCACAGAAGGTGCCCTGGTACATGGGTCCCGGGGAGAAGGTTCCCAGTGGCTGGGCCCTCCTGTAATAATCCCCTGTCATTCCCTTCCTGCAGATCAACATGTACCTGCTGTCACGAGTCCTGTTTGCCCTGTGCCGCCTGGGCGTGGAGAAGGGCTACATTCCCGAGCCCAGGTGGGACCCGTTCCCTTTGTTCACTGCGATAGTGTGGGGGCTGGTGCTGTGGCTCTTTGAGTACCACCGGCGCACCCTACAGCCCTCACTGCAGTCCTCCATGACCTACCTGTACCAGGACAGCGAAGTGTGGCACGACATCTCAGACTTCCTCCTCTACAACAAGAGCCTCCCCTCAAAGTAACGTGCCCCCGAGGTGCTTAGGAGGGCTTCCACGCCTGAGACTGGCTCCGTCGGTGAATCCTCCCGGTGGATCCTTCTTCTCAAGATCGTGGTTCTCAGACTCCAACTTTTATCATCCCAGGGTTCCATTTGCCGAAGCAAAAGCACTGATTTCCAAGTCCCATTAGGTACTCTCAAATGGTGGAACAAGTGGAGATTCGGGCCCCGGAGCCTCGGATATGATTCCTTCTGTGCTGTTCACTTCTGTGAGACGGGGAAAGACACCCCCTCTGGGCATCAGGGGTCATGGAGCTCAGAGGAGGGCCCTGAAGTCTCTTTCTGGTGCGTACGGTCTTCAATCGTTCTTAAATAACAGTGCTCCTTGCTGGTGGGCAGTGGGTTGCAAATCCGTTTTTAGAAAATACTATATTCCTTGCTCAGGTGTTCTATTGGAGAAGCTCTAGAATTCCACTGTCCAGTAGAAGCACCGTGCGATCCATATATGTAATTGAAATTTTTCTTAGTAGCCACATTAAAAAAGGTAGAAAGAAGCAGGTGAGAGTAATCTTAATTATACATTTAATCCAGTATTTCTAAAATATTATCATTTTAACATGTTATTAATATAAAAAGTAACAAGCTATTTCACATTCTTTTTTCTTGTACTAAGTCATCAGAATCAGGTATGTGTTGTATGCTTAGAGCGTGTCTCAGTTTGGACCAGTCATATTTCAAGTGCTCGGTAGCCACATGTGGCTAGTGGCTATATAGATATGGGGCACGTTTGTACTTGCAGAAAATTCTAGTGGACAGTGCAGATGTAGAGCTGGGGGATATGGGTTTGAGTCCCCGCTCCACCACTGCATAATCTTGGAGAAGGTTCTTAGCCTCTCTGAGCCTCAGTTTCCTGTAAAATGAGGATAATCATACACATCCGGTGTCCTCATTGGACTTGTGTAACTACAACAGCTGCTACTACTACTAAGTACTTCCATGTAGTGAGCTCCTACTTCCTCCCGGTGCTTTGCACGTATAATTTTTAATCCATGCAGTGACCTTGCAAGTATGTATTCTGATCCTCATTTCACAGATGTGGACACAGGATCAGAAAGGGGAAGTAAACTGCCCAAGGTAATACAACTTGTATGGTAGCCAAATCAGGGTTTGAACCCAGAGCTGTCTGAGTTCAAAGCCCATGGTTTTTTTTCAGTGCCTTATGTTAAACTTAGAAACCTAAGCTATGCTATGCAAACGTTAGCTAGTTATAGGATCGGTTCCAGACGGGGATGCAAAACGCAGGTGCCCACAGGGGCCTGGCAAGGGGCATGAATGAAAATGTGCACTAGGGAGTGATGGGGACAGGGTGAACTGAAGACTCAGGTGCCAATCTCATTTTTAAAATCAGTGTGCTGGATAAATCAAACAGGTCTCCAGGAAGATTTGGTCCATGGCCCACCAGTTGGAGACCCTTGGTCTAGTAGAAATACTTCAGTCTCTTTTTATATTTTAGAAATTACTAGTAGAAATGTGCACATGAGTCACTGGTGATCTTATTAAAATG